TGACGGACAAGTTCGGAAGAGTGGTGGCTCGACACCGACGAAGGAGGAGGCGAACAACCACACGCCGACCACTGGGTAAGTCTCGTTCACCTGAGTCGACTGACACTCTCAGCATTTGTCTTCACCAATTGACGATTCTTGCATGTGGATTCTGCTTGTTTGTGTGACGTGATATAGAGAAAGTATATGTCTCAGTGTGTGTGTGTGTGTCTGTGACTCAATGTCTGTTTCTTTCTGAGCGTGTTTCTGTGCGTGTGCATTATGTGCATGTAGTTAGTGTATGTGAAGATGAATAGTGGAGTTTGAGTGATGTGTCCACCGTGTGGTGACAAGTATGGAGGCAGTGAGAGTGACACTACACTGACAGACAATTTGACTCAGTCTTCTCCTTCTCTGTTTCAGGCGAAACCACGACACCTGGAGAAGAATTCGTCAACGTGACGGACAAGTTCGGAAGAGTGGTGGCTCGACACCGACGAAGGAGGAGGCGAACAACCACACGCCGACCACTGGGTAAGTCTCGTTCACCTGAGTCGACTGACACTCTCAGCATTTGTCTTCACCAATTGACGATTCTTGCATGTGGATTCTGCTTGTTTGTGTGACGTGATATAGAGAAAGTATATGTCTCAGTGTGTGTGTGCGTGTCTGTGACTCAATGTCTGTTTCTTTCTGAGCGTGTTTCTGTGCGTGTGCATTATGTGCATGTAGTTAGTGTATGTGAAGATGAATAGTGGAGTTTGAGTGATGTGTCCACCGTGTGGTGACAAGTATGGAGGCAGTGAGAGTGACACTACACTGACAGACAATTTGACTCAGTCTTCTCCTTCTCTGTTTCAGGCGAAACCACGACACCTGGAGAAGAATTCGTCAACGTGACGGACAAGTTCGGAAGAGTGGTGGCTCGACACCGACGAAGGAGGAGGCGAACAACCACACGCCGACCACTGGGTAAGTCTCGTTCACCTGAGTCGACTGACACTCTCAGCATTTGTCTTCACCAATTGACGATTCTTGCATGTGGATTCTGCTTGTTTGTGTGACGTGATATAGAGAAAGTATATGTCTCAGTGTGTGTGTGCGTGTCTGTCACTCAATGTCTGTTTCTTTCTGAGCGTGTTTCTGTGCGTGTGCATTATGTGCATGTAGTTAGTGTATGTGAAGATGAATAGTGGAGTTTGAGTGATGTGTCCACCGTGTGGTGACAAGTATGGAGGCAGTGAGAGTGACACTACACTGACAGACAATTTGACTCAGTCTTCTCCTTCTCTGTTTCAGGCGAAACCACGACACCTGGAGAAGAATTCGTCAACGTGACGGACAAGTTCGGAAGAGTGGTGGCTCGACACCGACGAAGGAGGAGGCGAACAACCACACGCCGACCACTGGGTAAGTCTCGTTCACCTGAGTCGACTGACACTCTCAGCATTTGTCTTCACCAATTGACGATTCTTGCATGTGGATTCTGCTTGTTTGTGTGACGTGATATAGAGAAAGTATATGTCTCAGTGTGTGTGTGCGTGTCTGTGACTCAATGTCTGTTTCTTTCTGAGCGTGTTTCTGTGCGTGTGCATTATGTGCATGTAGTTAGTGTATGTGAAGATGAATAGTGGAGTTTGAGTGATGTGTCCACCGTGTGGTGACAAGTATGGAGGCAGTGAGAGTGACACTACACTGACAGACAATTTGACTCAGTCTTCTCCTTCTCTGTTTCAGGCGAAACCACGACACCTGGAGAAGAATTCGTCAACGTGACGGACAAGTTCGGAAGAGTGGTGGCTCGACACCGACGAAGGAGGAGGCGAACAACCACACGCCGACCACTGGGTAAGTCTCGTTCACCTGAGTCGACTGACACTCTCAGCATTTGTCTTCACCAATTGACGATTCTTGCATGTGGATTCTGCTTGTTTGTGTGACGTGATATAGAGAAAGTATATGTCTCAGTGTGTGTGTGCGTGTCTGTGACTCAATGTCTGTTTCTTTCTGAGCGTGTTTCTGTGCGTGTGCATTATGTGCATGTAGTTAGTGTATGTGAAGATGAATAGTGGAGTTTGAGTGATGTGTCCACCGTGTGGTGACAAGTATGGAGGCAGTGAGAGTGACACTACACTGACAGACAATTTGACTCAGTCTTCTCCTTCTCTGTTTCAGGCGAAACCACGACACCTGGAGAAGAATTCGTCAACGTGACGGACAAGTTCGGAAGAGTGGTGGCTCGACACCGACGAAGGAGGAGGCGAACAACCACACGCCGACCACTGGGTAAGTCTCGTTCACCTGAGTCGACTGACACTCTCAGCATTTGTCTTCACCAATTGACGATTCTTGCATGTGGATTCTGCTTGTTTGTGTGACGTGATATAGAGAAAGTATATGTCTCAGTGTGTGTGTGCGTGTCTGTCACTCAATGTCTGTTTCTTTCTGAGCGTGTTTCTGTGCGTGTGCATTATGTGCATGTAGTTAGTGTATGTGAAGATGAATAGTGGAGTTTGAGTGATGTGTCCACCGTGTGGTGACAAGTATGGAGGCAGTGAGAGTGACACTACACTGACAGACAATTTGACTCAGTCTTCTCCTTCTCTGTTTCAGGCGAAACCACGACACCTGGAGAAGAATTCGTCAACGTGACGGACAAGTTCGGAAGAGTGGTGGCTCGACACCGACGAAGGAGGAGGCGAACAACCACACGCCGACCACTGGGTAAGTCTCGTTCACCTGAGTCGACTGACACTCTCAGCATTTGTCTTCACCAATTGACGATTCTTGCATGTGGATTCTGCTTGTTTGTGTGACGTGATATAGAGAAAGTATATGTCTCAGTGTGTGTGTGCGTGTCTGTGACTCAATGTCTGTTTCTTTCTGAGCGTGTTTCTGTGCGTGTGCATTATGTGCATGTAGTTAGTGTATGTGAAGATGAATAGTGGAGTTTGAGTGATGTGTCCACCGTGTGGTGACAAGTATGGAGGCAGTGAGAGTGACACTACACTGACAGACAATTTGACTCAGTCTTCTCCTTCTCTGTTTCAGGCGAAACCACGACACCTGGAGAAGAATTCGTCAACGTGACGGACAAGTTCGGAAGAGTGGTGGCTCGACACCGACGAAGGAGGAGGCGAACAACCACACGCCGACCACTGGGTAAGTCTCGTTCACCTGAGTCGACTGACACTCTCAGCATTTGTCTTCACCAATTGACGATTCTTGCATGTGGATTCTGCTTGTTTGTGTGACGTGATATAGAGAAAGTATATGTCTCAGTGTGTGTGTGCGTGTCTGTCACTCAATGTCTGTTTCTTTCTGAGCGTGTTTCTGTGCGTGTGCATTATGTGCATGTAGTTAGTGTATGTGAAGATGAATAGTGGAGTTTGAGTGATGTGTCCACCGTGTGGTGACAAGTATGGAGGCAGTGAGAGTGACACTACACTGACAGACAATTTGACTCAGTCTTCTCCTTCTCTGTTTCAGGCGAAACCACGACACCTGGAGAAGAATTCGTCAACGTGACGGACAAGTTCGGAAGAGTGGTGGCTCGACACCGACGAAGGAGGAGGCGAACAACCACACGCCGACCACTGGGTAAGTCTCGTTCACCTGAGTCGACTGACACTCTCAGCATTTGTCTTCACCAATTGACGATTCTTGCATGTGGATTCTGCTTGTTTGTGTGACGTGATATAGAGAAAGTATATGTCTCAGTGTGTGTGTGCGTGTCTGTGACTCAATGTCTGTTTCTTTCTGAGCGTGTTTCTGTGCGTGTGCATTATGTGCATGTAGTTAGTGTATGTGAAGATGAATAGTGGAGTTTGAGTGATGTGTCCACCGTGTGGTGACAAGTATGGAGGCAGTGAGAGTGACACTACACTGACAGACAATTTGACTCAGTCTTCTCCTTCTCTGTTTCAGGCGAAACCACGACACCTGGAGAAGAATTCGTCAACGTGACGGACAAGTTCGGAAGAGTGGTGGCTCGACACCGACGAAGGAGGAGGCGAACAACCACACGCCGACCACTGGGTAAGTCTCGTTCACCTGAGTCGACTGACACTCTCAGCATTTGTCTTCACCAATTGACGATTCTTGCATGTGGATTCTGCTTGTTTGTGTGACGTGATATAGAGAAAGTATATGTCTCAGTGTGTGTGTGCGTGTCTGTCACTCAATGTCTGTTTCTTTCTGAGCGTGTTTCTGTGCGTGTGCATTATGTGCATGTAGTTAGTGTATGTGAAGATGAATAGTGGAGTTTGAGTGATGTGTCCACCGTGTGGTGACAAGTATGGAGGCAGTGAGAGTGACACTACACTGACAGACAATTTGACTCAGTCTTCTCCTTCTCTGTTTCAGGCGAAACCACGACACCTGGAGAAGAATTCGTCAACGTGACGGACAAGTTCGGAAGAGTGGTGGCTCGACACCGACGAAGGAGGAGGCGAACAACCACACGCCGTCCACTGGGTAATTAGTCTATTCATGTCTCTCAATTTTGAATCTTTTTTGTGTGACTTTTCTGCATTTAATGAGCTTGATTTCACATATTTTTTTCTTACATTTTTGGAACATCATTTTCGTTAATTTTTTCTGGGATTCAATCCTTCTTTTATTCATGCCATATATGTGCAAGTGAAGATTTCTGCTCTACCAATAATTTTCAACATTCCTCGTATGCTCGCCTTGATATGGATGTTCGTCTAAGTTTCCGCATATTACTTCACCATTTATTCAAATTCCGCATCAAACTTTGCCTCATATTGGCACGCATGGATGACACGCGATGACAGCACAGGTCAGTGGTGACTGAGGACTATCCCCCCCATTCTCTGAACAACGACACAACCACACCGTCAGGCACACACCACACACAAACAACAACGCCAACACAATAACACCGAAACTGTCACACAACAGACACACTCAAACACTGACACTGTCAGCGTCTCTCTATCCACCTGCACACATCATATCACATCAACCTCAATCTATCCCATTCTCCTCCGTTTCAGAACCCAAATCAACGCCTGGCAGAAGACAGCCGTCCACCACTACACCCGAAGATCACGATCTCTACGTCTACTACATTGACAAGTTCGGAAAGAGAAGGAGACGACCTCGACGACATACAAAACCATCACACAAACGAACCAGATCGACGTCACCAAAACGTGAGTCCCCACATCCATTACACACCTGAACATATCAGCTCTCATTGATCACTCTCTCGACTCAATTTCATTCCCATGACGCGGATCATCCTCTGTGTAGTCTCCCTTCTGCACGTCACAGTGTTTCATCTCCTCGACAAACACTCTACACCACATCTCACTGTACTCACACATCACGCTCACTCGAATCAATTCGCCGTCAACAAACACACAGACAAATCAGTCCACAGTCTTTGTCACTGACAAACACACAAACATAGACACATCAGCAGACAGCAACTCAGTCACACTCACAGAACACAGCGCATACACTTCCGAATTTCACACATACACACACGCACACACACACAACGACGTGATACTCCACCGTCGATGGTGTTGGTAGAACCAAGCCACTTGTGACGAGCTGAAATGATTGAGACGAAGACGGACTGTTGCCGACCGGACATGGTCGCATGATGAGAGATTGCAGGATTCAAGGATGACACTGCGTCACATCACTGATGCACTCTGTCTAGCTCTCGCTCCTCTCGCTTGCATATATATTCTTCTAAATCTTTGTGCTTGAGAGCTGAACAATTCTCAACTGATTATTTGTTCCGATTTAATTGACAGGTCATTGTTTACAATCATCACTATCACTCCATTCTTGTGATGATATTTTGCGAAATATTCATACAATTCTGACACTGAATTTGTGTGTTGCTTCCGAATAACGTATAGGTTATTGATCTATTTAATTTCTCGGATTTACTCATAGCCAAGTTCGTATATATTTTGACACGTGTCGATTGAATATTTGAGAGTTATGCACAGATATAATCTATGTCATCGCAATACATTCTGATGGAGAGCAGTCACAAAGGCGAGAGTTAAATTGAGAATGCGACGGGAAGACTAAATTCAAAGGAAAGGCACCACAAACGAACAAAATTCGAATGAATAACCGAAACATGTGAGACAACAGCAAAGTCCGAAAACATTTAACAAAGATGAAGATAAAAAGGCGAATGAGAGAATGACCCAAAAAGCCACAAACGAAAAGATTGACAGAGAGATTCAATGAGCCACAGACATAGAGACTGTCAAAATGACGCTGTCTTCTCCTTCTGTGTTTCAGGCGAAACCACGACACCTGGAGAAGAATTCGTCAACGTGACGGACAAGTTCGGAAGAGTGGTGGCTCGACACCGACGAAGGAGGAGGCGAACAACCACACGCCGACCACTGGGTAAGTCTCGTTCACCTGAGTCGACTGACACTCTCAGCATTTGTCTTCACCAATTGACGATTCTTGCATGTGGATTCTGCTTGTTTGTGTGACGTGATATAGAGAAAGTATATGTCTCAGTGTGTGTGTGCGTGTCTGTCACTCAATGTCTGTTTCTTTCTGAGCGTGTTTCTGTGCGTGTGCATTATGTGCATGTAGTTAGTGTATGTGAAGATGAATAGTGGAGTTTGAGTGATGTGTCCACCGTGTGGTGACAAGTATGGAGGCAGTGAGAGTGACACTACACTGACAGACAATTGGACTCAGTCTTCTCCTTCTCTGTTTCAGGCGAAACCACGACACCTGGAGAAGAATTCGTCAACGTGACGGACAAGTTCGGAAGAGTGGTGGCTCGACACCGACGAAGGAGGAGGCGAACAACCACACGCCGACCACTGGGTAAGTCTCGTTCACCTGAGTCGACTGACACTCTCAGCATTTGTCTTCACCAATTGACGATTCTTGCATGTGGATTCTGCTTGTTTGTGTGACGTGATATAGAGAAAGTATATGTCTCAGTGTGTGTGTGCGTGTCTGTGACTCAATGTCTGTTTCTTTCTGAGCGTGTTTCTGTGCGTGTGCATTATGTGCATGTAGTTAGTGTATGTGAAGATGAATAGTGGAGTTTGAGTGATGTGTCCACCGTGTGGTGACAAGTATGGAGGCAGTGAGAGTGACACTACACTGACAGACAATTGGACTCAGTCTTCTCCTTCTCTGTTTCAGGCGAAACCACGACACCTGGAGAAGAATTCGTCAACGTGACGGACAAGTTCGGAAGAGTGGTGGCTCGACACCGACGAAGGAGGAGGCGAACAACCACACGCCGACCACTGGGTAAGTCTCGTTCACCTGAGTCGACTGACACTCTCAGCATTTGTCTTCACCAATTGACGATTCTTGCATGTGGATTCTGCTTGTTTGTGTGACGTGATATAGAGAAAGTATATGTCTCAGTGTGTGTGTGCGTGTCTGTGACTCAATGTCTGTTTCTTTCTGAGCGTGTTTCTGTGCGTGTGCATTATGTGCATGTAGTTAGTGTATGTGAAGATGAATAGTGGAGTTTGAGTGATGTGTCCACCGTGTGGTGACAAGTATGGAGGCAGTGAGAGTGACACTACACTGACAGACAATTTGACTCAGTCTTCTCCTTCACTGTTTCAGGCGAAACCACGACACCTGGAGAAGAATTCGTCAACGTGACGGACAAGTTCGGAAGAGTGGTGGCTCGACACCGACGAAGGAGGAGGCGAACAACCACACGCCGACCACTGGGTAAGTCTCGTTCACCTGAGTCGACTGACACTCTCAGCATTTGTCTTCACCAATTGACGATTCTTGCATGTGGATTCTGCTTGTTTGTGTGACGTGATATAGAGAAAGTATATGTCTCAGTGTGTGTGTGCGTGTCTGTCACTCAATGTCTGTTTCTTTCTGAGCGTGTTTCTGTGCGTGTGCATTATGTGCATGTAGTTAGTGTATGTGAAGATGAATAGTGGAGTTTGAGTGATGTGTCCACCGTGTGGTGACAAGTATGGAGGCAGTGAGAGTGACACTACACTGACAGACAATTTGACTCAGTCTTCTCCTTCTGTGTTTCAGGCGAAACCACGACACCTGGAGAAGAATTCGTCAACGTGACGGACAAGTTCGGAAGAGTGGTGGCTCGACACCGACGAAGGAGGAGGCGAACAACCACACGCCGACCACTGGGTAAGTCTCGTTCACCTGAGTCGACTGACACTCTCAGCATTTGTCTTCACCAATTGACGATTCTTGCATGTGGATTCTGCTTGTTTGTGTGACGTGATATAGAGAAAGTATATGTCTCAGTGTGTGTGTGCGTGTCTGTGACTCAATGTCTGTTTCTTTCTGAGCGTGTTTCTGTGCGTGTGCATTATGTGCATGTAGTTAGTGTATGTGAAGATGAATAGTGGAGTTTGAGTGATGTGTCCACCGTGTGGTGACAAGTATACAGGCAGTGAGAGTGACACTACACTGACAGACAATTTGACTCAGTCTTCTCCTTCACTGTTTCAGGCGAAACCACGACACCTGGAGAAGAATTCGTCAACGTGACGGACAAGTTCGGAAGAGTGGTGGCTCGACACCGACGAAGGAGGAGGCGAACAACCACACGCCGACCACTAGGTAAGTCTCGTTCACCTGAGTCAACAGACACTCTCAGCATTTGTCTTCACCAATTGACGATTCTTGCATGTGGATTCTGCTTGTTTGTGTGACGTGATATAGAGAAAGTATATGTCTCAGTGTGTGTGTGCGTGTCTGTGACTCAATGTCTGTTTCTTTCTGAGCGTGTTTCTGTGCGTGTGCATTATGTGCATGTAGTTAGTGTATGTGAAGATGAATAGTGGAGTTTGAGTGATGTGTCCACCGTGTGGTGACAAGTATAGAGGCAGTGAGAGTGACACTACACTGACAGACAATTTGACTCAGTCTTCTCCTTCTCTGTTTCAGGCGAAACCACGACACCTGGAGAAGAATTCGTCAACGTGACGGACAAGTTCGGAAGAGTGGTGGCTCGACACCGACGAAGGAGGAGGCGAACAACTACACGGCGTCCACTGGGTAAATAGTCTATTCATGTCTGTCAATTTTGAATCATTTTTGTGGGATTTTTACTGCATTTACTGAGCTTGATTTCACATATGTTTTTCTTACATTTTTGGAACATCATTTTCGTTATATTTTTCTGGGATTCACTCCTTCTTGTATTCATGCCATATATGTGCAAGTGAAGATTTCTGCTCTACCAATAATTTTCAACATTCCTCGTATGCTCGCCTTGATATGGATGTTCGTCTAAGTTTCCGCATATTACTTCACCATTTATTCAAATTCCGCATCAAACTTTGCCTCATATTGGCACGCATGGATGACACGCGATGACAGCACAGGTCAGTGGTGACTGAGGACTATCCCCTCCATTCTCTGAACAACGACACAACCACACCGTCAGGCACACACCACACACAAACAACAACGCCAACACAATAACACCGAAACTGTCACACAACAGACACACTCAAACACTGACACTGTCAGCGTCTCTCTATCCACCTGCACACATCATATCACATCAACCTCAATCTATCCCATTCTCCTCCGTTTCAGAACCCAAATCAACGCCTGGCAGAAGACAGCCGTCCACCACTACACCCGAAGATCACGATCTCTACGTCTACTACATTGACAAGTTCGGAAAGAGAAGGAGACGACCTCGACGACATACAAAACCATCACACAAACGAACCAGATCGACGTCACCAAAACGTGAGTCCCCACATCCATTACACACCTGAACATATCAGCTCTCATTGATCACTCTCTCGACTCAATTTCATTCCCATGACGCGGATCATCCTCTGTGTAGTCTCCCTTCTGCACGTCACAGTGTTTCATCTCCTCGACAAACACTCCACACCACATCTCACTGTACTCACACATCACGCTCACTCGAATCAATTCGCCGTCAACAAACACACAGACAAATCAGTCCACAGTCTTTGTCACTGACAAACACACAAACATAGACACATCAGCAGACAGCAACTCAGTCACACTCACAGAACACAGCGCATACACTTCCGAATTTCACACATACACACACGCACACACACACAACGACGTGATACTCCACCGTCGATGGTGTTGGTAGAACCAAGCCACTTGTGACGAGCTGAAATGATTGAGACGAAGACGGACTGTTGCCGACCGGACATGGTCGCATGATGAGAGATTGCAGGATTCAAGGATGACACTGCGTCACATCACTGATGCACTCTGTCTAGCTCTCGCTCCTCTCGCTTGCATATATATTCTTCTAAATCTTTGTGCTTGAGAGCTGAACAATTCTCAACTGATTATTTGTTCCGATTTAATTGACAGGTCATTGTTTACAATCATCACTATCACTCCATTCTTGTGATGATATTTTGCGAAATATTCATACAATTCTGACACTGAATTTGTGTGTTGCTTCCGAATAACGTATAGGTTATTGATCTATTTAATTTCTCGGATTTACTCATAGCCAAGTTCGTATGTATTTTGACACGTGTCGATTGAATATTTGAGAGTTATGCACAGATATAATCTATGTCATCGCAATACATTCTGATGGACAGCAGTCACAAAGGCGAGAGTTAAATTGAGAATGCGACGGGAAGACTAAATTCAAAGGAAAGGCACCACAAACGAACAAAATACGAATGAATAACCGAAACATGTGAGACAACAGCAAAGTCCGAAAACATTTAACAAAGATGAAGATAAAATGGCGCATGACAGAATGACCCAAAAAGCCAAAAACGAAAAGATTGACAGAGAGATTCAATGAGCCACAGACATAGAGACTGTCAAAATGACGCTGTCTTCTCCTTCTGTGTTTCAGGCGAAACCACGACACCTGGAGAAGAATTCGTCAACGTGACGGACAAGTTCGGAAGAGTGGTGGCTCGACACCGACGAAGGAGGAGGCGAACAACCACACGCCGACCACTGGGTAAGTCTCGTTCACCTGAGTCGACTGACACTCTCAGCATTTGTCTTCACCAATTGACGATTCTCGCATGTGGATTCTGCTTGTTTGTGTGACGTGATATAGAGAAAGTATATGTCTCAGTGTGTGTGTGCGTGTCTGTGACTCAATGTCTGTTTCTTTCTGAGCGTTTTTCTGTGCGTGTGCATTATGTGCATGTAGTTAGTGTATGTGAAGATGAATAGTGGAGTTTGAGTGATGTGTCCACCGTGTGGTGACAAGTATGGAGGCAGTGAGAGTGACACTACACTGACAGACAATTTGACTCAGTCTTCTCCTTCTCTGTTTCAGGCGAAACCACGACACCTGGAGAAGAATTCGTCAACGTGACGGACAAGTTCGGAAGAGTGGTGGCTCGACACCGACGAAGGAGGAGGCGAACAACCACACGGCGTCCACT